ACAATGGAGAAAAGACAGTCTCTTCAATAAGTGGTGCTGGGAAAACTAGACAGCTACATGTAAAAGAATGAAATTAGAACACTCCCTAACACCATACACAAAAATAAACTCAAAATGGATTAAAGACCTAAATGTAAGACCAGACACTATAAAACTCTTAGAGGAAAACATAGGAAGAACACTCTTTGACATAAATCACAGCAAGGTCTTTTTTGACCCACTTCCTAGAGTAATGGAAATAAAAACAAAAATAAACAAATGGGATCTAATGAAATTTAAAAGCTTTTGTACAGCAAAGGAAACTATAAACAAAACGAAAAGACAACCTTCAGATTGGGAGAAAATATTTGCAAATGAATCAACGGACAAAGGATTAATCTCCAAAATATATAAACAGCTCATGCAGCTCAATATTAAAAAAACAAACAACCCAATCAAAAAATGGGCAGAAGACCTAAATAGACATTTCTCCAAAGAAGACATACAGATGGCCAAGAGGCACATGAAAAGCTGCTTAACATCACTAATTATTAGAGAAGTGCAAATTAAAACTCCAATGAGGTATCACCTCATGTCAGTCAGAATGGGCATCATCAGAAAATCTACAAACAAAATATGCTGGAGAGGGTGTGCAGAAAAGGGAACCCTCTTGCATTGTTGGTGGGAATGTAAATTGATACAGCCACTATGGAGCACAGTATGGAGGTGCCTTAAAAAATTGAAAATAGAACTACCATATGACCCAGCCATCCCACTACTGGGCATATACCCTGAGAAAACCATAGTTCAAAAAGAGACATGTACCGAAGTGTTCATTACAGCACTATTTACAATAGCCAGGACATGGAAGCAACCTAAGTGTCCATCGACAGATGAATGGATATAGAAGATATGGCACATATATACAATGGAATATTAGCCATAAAAAGAAATGAAATTGAGTTATTTTTAGTGAGGTGGATGGACGTAGAGTCTGTCATACAGAGCAAAGTAAGTCAGAAAGAGAAAAACAAATATAGTATAGTAACACATATATGTGGAATCTAGAAAAATGGTACAGATGAACTGGTTTGCAAGGCAGAAATAGAGACACAGATGTAGAGAACAAACGTATGGACACCAAGGGGGGAAAGTCGGGGGTGGGTGGTGGTGGTGGGATGAATTGGGAGATTTGGATTGACATATATACACTAATATGTATAAAATAGATAACTAATAAGAGCCTGCTGTATAAAAAAAAAAATAATAAAGTTAAAAAAAAAAACTGGTTTAGTTCTCCCTTGCTGCACCCAGGGTTTAAGAGTTGGAGACTGACTTGAATCTCCCAGTGTGAAGTTTTCACTTCATGGAAACACAGGCGTAGTGATCTTGTAGCAAAAGCTAAACACAAAACCATCCCCCCTCTCACCCCTCTCACCCCTTTTTTTCCCACTATAATTACCATAGGAAAGGAATCACTGGAAAAATAGAAGGGAGAGAGGAGAAAATGAGAGGGTGGATAAAACCTCAATGTCTGTTCAGCCATAAAGCCTGACAGAAGAGACATTGGAGAACAAGAATAGATAATTTCTCAGAGGAAAAAACAATGCATAAGGGTATGAGGATGAATGTAAGGAAAGGGATAGGGAAGATCAAATTTTAAAAAATATATCAATCCAAGTCAAGCATTTTTCTCCCCATCATGTTAAAATGGTACCTACCAGAGCTTGAAAATAAGGGTGATCATGAAGAGCGATGAGGGTGGTCACATTTCTTCCCCACTAAGATTAAAGAACCTGGAATTTAGGTGGGTTTAAGTACTCCCCATATTTACCTCTTCTCCGTTTTTCTTACTATTTCTCCCCCAATTTCAATATTACAAGCCATATCTACACATATAATTGAGGGTTTAGGAGTTGGAGACTGAACTGAACCTCCCAGTATGAAGTTTTGACTTCATGGAAACACAGGCATGGTGACCTTGTAGCAAAAGCTAAACACAAAACCATGTGCCCCCAATCCCCTCTCTCACCCCCTTTTTTTCACTATAATTACCATAGGAAAGGGATCACTGATCAGGAACCCAAGCAGGCTTTAGACTTTTCCCATTAAGGGAAAGGATATTCTTCAGGGGTTACATCTTGTAATCAGAAATAAAGGGGAAAACCCGGCAGGGCTGTCTTGTTGGAATCATGTATAGGCAGCATGAAAATCCATGGCCATTCTCTTACTCTTAAGCACGAAATCATCTACCAAAGGTAGAAGAAATAGGAAAAGTTATATTTACTCTTTTAAAAACCACTTCTGATTTTTTTTTTTGCCAACATCAAGAATTCTTCCTGGAAATAAACTTATTATTAAGGCAGAACCAAGTAAAATGATGTGTATGTCCAGAAAGAATTGCATTTTGTGTCGAGGAGTTAAACTGCACATCAGATTATGTCAGCACAAGCAGATGGGGTTCAACATTTTTAACTTCTCTTTTCCCTCCCTTTACTAAACTTCCCTATTCTTCTATACTTAGTTTTACCAAGCTTCCCTTAGCTTCACCAGCTTAACAAGGTCTGGGCAGGCAGCACATACAAGATGTCCTGAAAACACATTGCCCTATGTAAACAATTGTTTTTGGCAATTCAGAGGTTTTGTGGCAGGACTGCATTTTTTTTTTTTTTCTGAAAATCAAATGTTTAGGCCAAAATTAGACTTGCATGTGCGTTTTTATGACTTGGAATATTCAAACATTACAATTGTGTGTTTAAAAAGGGAATTTGATCTTTTTTTGCTCTTTTTTCTTTGGGCTTCCATTTTTTCCTAGTTCCATTGTTTTCTCTTTTACAGTACATTTTCATATCTCGGTACATCGCTTAAGCATCTGTTTCTCCTCAATCATAATTTTCATTCAAGAATAATAACTCTTTGGTCTCTTTGCACATGTTTTGTTTTGCCCCCACCTATGAACTTCACCAGAGTGTGTTGAAGGTTAACGGCTCCATTTCTGGAATTTTCTTGGATCCCTTTAGGAGGAAATTGCCAAAGTATATAAGGAGGGCTCAAATGTATCTGGGCTTTGCCAAGGCCTTTGAGAAAGGCTCCACATAGCTGTACCTTCTTCCAGATCCCTTCTGTTCTCACTGTGCCCGGCTTCTTCATGATTCCACATAGGGGTTCGTATCTTTTGCTCATGTGGGAAAAGAACCTTTGGATTAATAAAGCACCAGAATACTTGTTTATCTAACAATGCTCTACCTTGTATATTAATGGGTAGAAAATTGCTTCTCACTTCACTGAGTTTTCCATCCTCTTCCCTTTTCCATCCCACACTGCCCAGAGTCATGAATGTCTCCGTTGGTCATTTTCTAATGCTCCCGTCAGTCTTTAGGAATGATGAGAGTTGCTCAAATATCTTTTCCCACAACTGCTAAGGTAGTAGAAAGATGAGGTAAATGACATAAGCCTTGCTGGAAAGGTTGGAGGGACCTTTTAGCAGTGTTTGCCTGAGGGGCACTGGATCACAGGGTCACTGCATTAGCTTATCTATCCTGTAACATATGTCAAGCAGTTTGCTTCAGTTGTGACTTTCTGTGGCAAGAGGCAGTAAACTCAACCTAAAGTAAATTCAAGCAAAACAGATTTTAGTGGTTTGTATAACTGAAAAGCTCAGAGATGGGGCTCTTCTCTTATGCAGCACAATGTGGGGCTCAGATGGTGTTATAAGACCACTGGTCTCTCTCTAGATCTCTTGGCTTTTCTCTCTTAAGTGTTGGCTCATTCCTAGGCAGGCTCTCCCCTCAAACTCACAAGATGGCTGCAGAAGCTCCAGAACTTACATCTTCTCAGTTTCACATCCACAAGGGGTCATTGCAGTCAGCCATCTGATATTAGGAGTGTTAGCCTCATGAAGCTAGATTTCCAGTGTTTCTGGAAAGAGGAGTACCCCTGGATATCTGACACTCCTGAGGATTAATCAACCCTGGAGCCATCCTACCTTAAGACTTGTGATCTGAGACAATAACTTATTGATTAAACTATTTTATGTGAAGCTTTCTTGTTAAAGGGGAATTCATCTTTTTTGCCGTTTCATCTTTTGGCCTACACCTTCTTCTAGTTCCATTATTTTCTCTTATACAGTACATTCAGCTGAAAGCATCCTAAATGTGATTGTCATTGGCTGTAGTTGGGTCATGTGCCTATTCCTGACCATTCACAATGGGAACTTGTACTGATGTGTGACTGGCCTCAGCCTAGATGCTCCAGTCCACTTCTGCCATGGGACGGGTTCATCCTACCTGATGACACAGACTGAGTGTAGAGGAGGAGGAAAGCTACTGGGAAATTAGGGTATGGTTTACATAAAATAGTGAAATAGGGGCTTCCCTGGTGGTGCAGTGGTTGAGAGTCCGCCTGCAGATGCAGAGGACACGGGTTCGTGCCCCGGTCCGGGAAGATCCCACATGCCGCGGAGCGGCTGAGCCCGTGAGCCATGGCTGCTGAGCCTGCGCGTCCAGAGCCTGTGCTCCGTGACGGGAGAGGCCACAACAGTGAGAGACCCGCGTACCACAAAAAAAAATTAAATTAAATTAAAAAAAAATAGTGAAATAGATACTGTGAAGCAAAAATATTGGTGTCCAGTACTTCATCCTTTGAATGTGCCTTTTATTATCCAGTGGCCTCAACTTGTCAGTATAGTGAGTAGGGAGTGTATAATTTGTTACCTGGTCTGGTAGCGCAGCGTATATAACTTTGGAGCTGTTTTAGATCAAAGGCAGATCTGCTATGCTGTTGACTCATCTCAATAGTCTATGTATACTTTTCCTCAGTTAGGACCTCATATATCCAGCTTTGGCACATCAGCCATTTCAGGTCATGGCAAAGGAAAAGGTGGCTCATGGCCAAGACAGACAAAGCCTTGAGTTGCTGGTTAATCTAGTGCTCTCTAAAGGATACCAGAAAACCCAGGCAGCTATTGAAGCCTCATGTACCATCCCGTAGGCTCTATGGTTTTCTGGCCCCCTCTCTCTTACCTCCTGCAGTTCAGTTGGTCTCATGGCTCTCAGAGTCAGCCTGGTATGTAGAATAGTGGGGCCTCAGGTCAGCCTGTGTCTAGTGATTTCAATTCTGCAGTTGGCTGGAATTCCATCTGTCAAGAAGCTTTTGAGTCAGTCATTTGATAGTGGAAGAGTTGGCCTACTAGGATTTCCTGTGTATCTGGAAAGAGGAGCACCCCTGGAGATCTGACGTGCTTTGTGAAATTAGGGGTTCGTTTTTGTTATTCACAGTTAGTCTCTGCTGAACCTAATGTATTTCAATGTTTGAGGATTAAAAAAACACATACACATAAAAAAGAATTTCTCTTTTTCATTATGAACTTAAGTAACTTGATCAAGAGAATCTAATCAATATTAAACTATTTACTTCCCTCCAAAGTAATTTCCTCTCTGTCAATGCACAGACATGCATTTTTACTTAGTTATAATTAGTGTGAACATACTTGTTTTTGTTTAAGAAAGGTTTTCTTTACCTTGGCATCCAGATTTGTTTTCATAGGCGAAGAAAACACTGAGAATTAGAAGGAACCTTCACTGGAGAGTTGGGAGGATTATATTGGGTCATACTATCCCAGAGTTAAAGAAACCTTAAAGGACCCCAAATCCCTCCCCGTATCTCTGATGACTGCACTTCTCAACTAATGGACTCACTGGAGTAGCTTTCCCATGCAAGGGCCTCCCCAGATCTTATTCCACAGCACCAAAGGTGGACTCTCCCTTCTAAAAGAAGAATGAAATCCCATCCTCTGGGTCTGCTAGGGTCTACTTGTCTGCCATGGGCCTGCACCCTTGTCCTCTGCTTTACTTCGTGTGGGGTTATCTACATGGTTTCCCATGCAGGAAAAAAGTGGAAAAACCATGCTGCTCTGAGACAGTCCTCCATACCATTCCCCTCAAATGTCTTTTTTTTTTTTTTAAGTGTAATCGCACACCAATAGTTTCCAATCTATCAAAGCATAAATTTGCCAGTCTTTTTTCCTAAGTCAAGGAAGTAGCGAAGTGAGGTTTAATTAAAAGCAGCAACTATTTGTACAGCTGTCCCTGGGTTCATGGCTCGTAAAAGGATTTAGCTTCAAACTCTGCTGCCTAAGTCCTTCGGGAGTTTCACAAAAAAACTCATTTAGCCTCCTCATCCGGACAGTGCCAAGCCCTTGCTTCGCAAGTTGCTTCAGGAACAGGCAGAGCTGGGCCCTGATGCAACTTCAGCTTCAACAGTCGGGCCTTCTCAGCACATGTGGCTTGGAGCAAAGCAGTGAAGATACCCAAGTCCCCTTCTTTTGTATGGGGGACAGGAGCCTTGAAGGCTACTCCACGAAGCTCCTGAAAATTCCCCTACGGTTGGGAAACGGAGGGAGGACGATCAAGCACAGTTTTCGTTTTGTGAGCTTTTCTCTGGCACTCACACTTTCCGATTCCCGGTGGGTCTTTGACCCGTGCAATCCCATCCCCAGTCCCCAAGGCGTGAACGGTCACCGGTAGGCATCCTTCAGAGGAGATGGGGGCGGGGTATCCCTGCGGATAGATGCATCCACGCAGAGCGGCCATGCCAGCGTAAGCCCTGGAGAGGAGGAGGAACCAGCGCTCAGCATTTGGCTGATTTTCAGGTGTAAGGGAAGCAGCACTTCAGGCAGCCTTGATTCCGAACAAGCCTATTCGGACTTGAAGCGAGCGCAGTGGCCAGCGTAGGTCACTGACAGCTGGCGGGGGGCGGGACCAGCCCCACGCGCAGAGAGGCAAGGAGGCGGAGGAGCTGCGGCTTAGGAAGAGTGACCCTGGCGACCCCAAACGCCCCGCCTCCTTCGCTCGCTGCTTCACCTGCCGGCCGAGCGCGCCGAGCCGCGGGCGGAGGCGATGGCTAGCCCCGCGCCCTTAGTGGCCTCCATCAGCCACCAAATGGTGGCTCTGCACACCCTGCAGCTTCTGCAGCAGGAGTGGGGCTGGGGGGATGGTCCGGGCGCCCCCGGGAGCCCACGCGACCTGGACCACGTGTCCGCCGCCCCAGAGAGTCGCTCAGACCCACGGCTGGCCCGTGCCGGGCAGGGGCGTGGGGAGGAAGGCGGGGGCAAGGGGGCCAGGAACGTGGGGTCCGGGGCGCGGGCGAGCTCCCCCGAGGTGGAAGTGGTGCGAGGCGCCGAGGGGGGCGCGGAACTGCTGCCCTTACCCCGGGGTCACGGGCCCTGCACCCTGGCCCAGATGGCGATGCGCAGCGCGCTGGCCCGCGTGGTGGACTCGACCTCGGAGCTGGTCAGCGTGGAGCAGACGCTGCTGGGCCCCCTCCAGCAGGAGCGGTCCATCCCCATCCACCTGAAGGTGAGTCTGGCCTCCAGCATCCATCCCCCTGCTTAGGCTCCCCCTGGGGCAGGGCAGCGGACCGGGATGCAGACGAGGCTGAGTCGCAGGATCCAAAGTCGAGCTTCCCCCAGAGATTCAGCACCTCGGAGTGGGAATGACGGAGGTGACATTCCGGGGATTAGGTACTTGGGACAGGGAACTCAGGGCCCACCTGGGGCACACCTGACTGCAGAACGGAGATGCAGAAGGGCTTTGCCAAAACCTTCCTCTGGCCCTTTCCACATGTGAAGCTTCTAGAGACGGAGGACAGCTCCTCCCACCCCTTTCAAATTAAAAGCCGTTTCTCCAGAGCCTTAAATATACGTATTAAGTTCCCTCTGCCTTTTGTATGACGAAATCACCTACATTTATTTGAAGTTCCTTCGCACTTATGAATCGCAGTTGTTTTTGCGTAAATCCATTTCCGCACAGAGCTCGGGGGCCTCACAGAGTCAACCTAAACTCTCATAAAGTAGCGTGAGAGCGGGCTGGGTCCCGGGTGTTGAAGCAGGAACACTCATGTTAAACTCCTGCTAAGCCACGCAGCCCGTCTTTGTAGGGCACGTTTCCGCTTAAGGTACCAAACGGTGTTGGCCGATTTAGCCAGGGAACAGAGCAGCTGCCTCCCAGGCTGAGTGGGTTGGTGGAAATCTGGGGTTCTGGAGTCCAGTCTTGGCCTTGCCATTAACCTAATTGGCTTAAGGTCACAAATCTCTCTGAGACCTTCTGGCCTTTCAATTTTGATCTGGAACATTGCTTCATTCATTCCCTGGGGAGTCTAGTGGAAGGAAATGGGGGAGGGGTAATGAAGAAAGAGCATTTCTCAAGACTTGCTATTCTTGCTCTACAAGCCAAAGTTTGGGAAACATTGATATATATTAGGTCGCACTATATACTGTAAAAGATTGATTTAAAATAAAAAAAAATAAAGCATAGCATTCACCTGAATAAATATTGTTACTCTGAACTAGGGTTTCTCCACCTCCACACTACTGACGTTTTTGTCTGGATGATTGCTCTGGGGTTGTCCTATGTACTGTAGGATGTTTAGTAGCATCCCTGGCCTCTACCCAGTAGATGCCAGCAGCATATCCTCCCCCCCAACTGACAGAACCAAATACTGCTAATGTGTGTGGTGGGAGGGGAGATAAGGTCGCCTCCAGATGTGAAGCACTGCTTCATTCTGAAAAGTTTAAAAAATGAAGCTGCATTTCACCAGTGCTCTTGACTGTAAGAGGTACCTTTTTTTGTATCGCCAAGAAATTTTTTAAAATCCTGCCAATTAAACTGTGATACACATGAAGTGTGCTGTGATACTAGGAACGTATACAAGGCACAGGTAGGTTGGCAAAAGGAGAGACTGAGTGATCAGTTTTACCTTGGGTGATCCTGGAAGGCATCTTGGAGGAGGTAACCTTTAAAAAAAAAAAAAAGAATGTTTACTCTCCAGGCATTAAAGGGAAAAAGCATTTCAGAGGAGCTGTGGGATCCAAGGCCAAGAAGTAATGAAAGGGCCTAGGGCTTTGGGGGAACTAAAATTAGTTCAGTATGGCAGAAGGCAAAAAAAAAGGATGCTGGAGAGTTAGGTGGGGTCAGGTGGGAAAAGGCCTGTGGGTCATGCTGAGGACCTGGACTGTCTTGCAGGCAAAAGGCAGCCATTGATATGACTGAAGGAAGGACCCTGATAAATCACAGAGGCAAGGTCAGGTCGGAAGACCATTGTCAGAGGGCCTGACCCAGTTTAGGAGCAATGGCGCCCTCTGCTCTGGACTATAAATCATGCCACTTGAGGTTAATGCAGCTGCCACTTCTACTTGGTAATCCTTTTAACCCTCTCTACTACTTGACTTTTTGTCCTAAACATTTTCTACTCTCCTCAAACTTTCTTCATCCAAACCTCAACCCTCTCACTCCTTTACTGAGAAAATTGAGGCCATCTGACACAAATATCTTCCATCCTACCTAAAAAAATCTCATTTCCAATCATCTTCTTTCTTGTCTCTAATAAAGAAATACTGTTTGGCTCCCACCCCCTCCGCCTCCCAAATAACTTCTTTCTCTTAAGTGCTGGAGCAAATCTTTCATCTGCCCCTGGACTTTTTCTCTCAGTTCCTTCCTCTCTCTTTGTATTTTCTAGGGCTTCCACTCTGCCAATTCCTCTTAATCCATAGATCTGCTCAAATCTTCCTTCACCTACCCAGCCCCTTGAGTCTTGGTCCCCTTCTTCTCCGTCATGAGCAAACGTGCAGATGTCTGGATGTATTGCTACCAGTGTTTCTAGAGGCACCCAGAGTCCCCATTAAGAACAGGGATCTCCACAGGGAGCTCAGCTCGGTGCTCTGTGATGACCTAGGTGGGTGGGATGGGGGGGAGGGAGGTCCAAGAGGGAGGGCTGTTTCATTCATTGTACAGCAGAAACTAACACAACATTGTAAAGCAATTATACTCCCCCCCACCAAAAAAAAAAAAAAAAAAAAAAGAATATAGACAACAACAACGACAACAAAAAAAGAACAGGGATCTCAACATTCTTGCTATTGGAGTCTGCTATTCACCTACAGGGGAGTAATGAGTTTCAGGGCTCCTGAGAACAGCCAGTGCTTTCAGAAGGGAGAGAAGCAGGGAGAGGTTTCTCTGGATGATTTGCCTCCTGGTCAGCATCTTGAAATTTTGCTTGGTTTGCTGTTTGGAGAAAAGGCAGTATCTCCATTAGGTTTGGAAGGTAATGCTTACAAAGCACTTAGACTCAAGGACACAGCAGTCTGTCTCTCCAGGGGGGCTGGTTATACAGACTTGGCATCATCATTACTGGTGTTAATTCAAATGATTTGGACGAGTTTTCTCTATATTTTTAAATTAAGAACATGCAGATTGATTTTATACATGAGAATGGTTTCAGGAGGATTTTGCTAAAGGAAATAATGCTTGCATGTCACTTGGAAGTGTGTGGAACCCTAACGTCAGGAATGCCTTCCATGGCATTCCTTGCCACAGAGAGGAGGAAGACTCACTTGAACAGCACAGCACAGGACAGCGATCAGGTCCCATGAAGCATTTCAAACCTACTCTGCCACTTCCTGCTGCAGACTCTTGGGCAAGTTATTTAGCCTTCCTGTGCTTCTGTCTCCTCACCTGTAAAGTGGGAACAGTGGTATTTAACGTTATTGAGATAATGCATAGAAAGTCTTAGCTACTGGCTGCTCACGGTAAATTGCAATACCTTTGAACTTTATTATTATTATTAATTATTATTATTATTAATTGATTGATGCCTCAATCTTCTTCAATAGTCTTATTATTATATTTCATTCTTGATATTGATGGATCTGACTCCTGAACTCTGTATTTACTTTTGAGACTGTTGACAAAAACAGAGTTAGGATGACCCAAAGAGACTTCCAGGAAGCCTCCACTTTCCAGAGGTTAGCTTTAGCCCATGGCTGATGACTGACTTAGAGATGTGACCATTGAGTGACTCGCTGATCAAACCACCAGAATTAAGGGAGTGAAATTTTCAGGCCTGAAGGCAGAGAAACCCTCACCATAATAATAATGCATATCTTTATAGTAGTTTGCTATTTTCTTAAAGAAGCCAACGCTTGATATTCCTTTTGAGCATTTAGAGATTATCGAACTCATGCAAAAACAAACAAACAAACATGAAATGAGTCTTTTCATGGTGGTTAAAAATGCTTAACAAAACTGAGTCTTGTGAAATTTGGTGGAAAGGATGGAGTTAACCAGCTTGATAAAAATTTATTACGGGAGGAAACTGAGGCTCAGAGGAATTTAGAACTGCTGAAGAGTCTGCAGCTAAGAAGTAGTGGCCCACGATTCAAACATGGTTTTGTCTGACTCTTTCTACCAATCACAGTGCTAGCTCATAGGGGTGTTATGAACATTACACTGAAAATAAAGTACATGAGAGTGCACAGTTGTCAGGGCACGGTCATACATGCCATGCACTGCACACCACTTCAGCTGCAATAGTCATTCTGCACACTGAGTATCATAGTCAGCTTGGGCTGCCATAACAAAATGCCACAGACTTGGGTGGCTTAAACCACAGACATTTATTTTCTCACTGTTGTGAAGGCTGGGAAGTTCAAGAGCAAATTTGGTTTCTGGGAAGGGCTCTCTTCCTGGCTTGTGGACTGTCACCTTCTCACTGTGTCCTCACATGGCCTTTCCTCTGTGCCAGAGAGAAAGAGAGATCTTGGATGTCTCTTCCTCTTCTTGTAGGACACCAATCCTATTGGATTAGGGCCCCATCCTTATGATGTAACTTAACTTTAATTACCTCCCTAAAGATCCTATCTCCAAATACAGTCACACTGCAAGTCAGGTTTTCAACACCTGAATTTTGGTGGAACACAATTCAGTCCCTAACACTGGGTGATTTGTGTCTCCTCTAATGATGATCACCTTACATAGTGACAAAAAGCCCCAGGTAAACGTAGGAAATCTTTATCAAACTAGCAATACTGGCAAAGATGCTATAATACTTGCCACCCAAAGGGAGCACAGAAATGTGTGGAGCACCAGAAGGAAGAGAGTCTAGGATTTTAAAAACTACTAAAAATGACCAACCCAAAGAGATCATTAACTAAGCCAATCATGAAGTCACTCTGGTTGAGTTTTGTCTGTCTTCCTTTGATAGTTAAAAACATTTACGGTTTCCAAGAGTTCTGTTCTGAAGCAAGTTTCATGGAAACAATGGCTGATGCCAGCTTTTAGAGGCAGAAGAACTTTCCTGCCATTGCAGATAAAACTTGCCTGTGAGCTCACCCATTGCAATTAACTAATTCTGGTACCAATAATTCTCTCACGTTCAGTGGTCCATGCTGGTTTTCTCATTCCACAGAGCAAGAGCAGTGGTTGTAAAACTGTTGGCTTTGGCTTCACAGTCATTGCTAAGGCTTTTTGCAAACTGCAAGTGTGGATATTGAGTTACTCAGAGGCAGACATTGATGATGAGTGCTTTTCTTCCCCATTAACATTGGTTAGTGAAGCCAGTTTCTGCAAATTTGGGAATTGTGTCTTTAAAAATTGCTAATATTCGATTGAAGAAATAAATTCTCATGGTTATATTATTAGTAGCCTTAGCCAGGGGATTACTCTTTGTCTGGGACAAAACTGTGCTTTTATGTCAGGAAAAGGCCAAGTGACAGCTCTAGAAGTAGCTTCGTTATAGCTTTGTTATTCCTTATAAAGTGAATGATATGAAAATCAGGACATAAAAGCTTTCTGAAATGAACATTTAGGGAGAGATATTGCAGGAAGGCCCTAAAACAAACCTACTTATGTTTAATGTCTTGTGGAAATGCTGCCTTGCTTTATTTTACAATTTTGGGGTTTGCCTTGTGAGCATACCTGAATCAAGTGCTTGTATCCATCACAAAGTGCTTTTCATTAGACTTTTCTGATGAAAATGGTACTGTACCCAAAGCAAATGCATAAGGAACCTTAGTTACTTGTGAGCGTTTACACTGGGTACACCACGAGTAAAAATGTTTAATTTCCTGTGGGCGATAGACTTTTTGTGGTGACTGGCAGATACTGCGGTTCTTCACTGGGTGCGTTATTAATACGAAGTTGCATATCTATTTGAGATTGACCTAGAGTTTAGGCAATTGGTGATGGATCTGGGCCCTGCGACTTTGTTGTTCAAAGCCAGATGTCAATGAACAAAATGCAGTTGGGGCAATTTGTAGTATACTGTTCCTGATAGTATGGTTTTCATAACGCCGCTCTAAAATAGAGAAACGACACTCCCATTTTATGTGCACATCTAGCATGGAGGGTTGTGTTGGGTGTAGGGAAGAGATTTGTGCTCCCTCGTAGTTCCCAGCCCTGGGAAACTTTAGTGGGGAGTGGTTTGCTGTCCAGGCCGAAGTTCATTAAGGTCAGACCTCATCACAGAAAGCTGGAGGAAAGCTCTTTCTTCCATTAATACCCTCTGTAGAGTACGTTAGGCATTCAGGGAGAGTGAGAGGGAAAAATGTGAGAAAAAACACGTTTGTGGAGGCCATTATAAGAGAATATAGCTCAAGAAATGACTGTTTTGTAAAGAACCAACTTATTTTAAAGCCGGGGTGAAGGGAATATGAATTGATTTATAGTTCCTGTAGATCTAGAAGTGATTTTGAAGATGATGTGATAGAAAAAACCCAAAAACCTTCTTTGTGTATTGTTTAAAATTACCTGCATTATAGAGCCTATAAAGTCATATTATATTTTTGACTTTATTACCTATTGGTGTTGGTTTCAGAAAACAAGCCTTGAAACTGACTCCTAATGCTAGATTGTTTTTGCTTTTAAGGCTTTGGTTTTGATGGGAGTGTTTATTTTCAATAAGAAGCTAAAAATGGGCTTAACTTTTCTTCCCTTTTTGGACTTTGCAGGTGCATTTTCAGTTGCTCAAAGATTTCAGAAGTGCACATTCCTAATAAATACAATGCGTCATGCAGAAAAGTACAAGTGGGGTGGATTTTCTAAGAGACCTCCCTTACACTGGGTAGGAGAGAACAGACCGGAGGAAGGGAGAGCTCCAACTAGGAGGTCTCTAATTAGCTAGGAGTTGGCTTTACATGGGGCGTGGAAGGTTCCATGCCTTGAATCCCTTCCAGATAACCACACCCTCTCAACTATGTTGCAGGGAAGAGGGCTGGACCAATGGGACAATCTTCAGTTTGGATATGACCGTTGCAAATTTGAGCTTTGTAACACTTAGTTAACCTTAAGAAAAATAGCATGAATATAGCCAGAAAACAAACATGAAACAATTCACATAGAGACATTTTTGTTTGTCACTCAAAGCTAGTTGGGTGCCTCCCAGCTTGCTTCCATGGTGTCCCTGTTCACCCCATGGTGGCATCTGCAGCTCTGTACTTCTCATTCATTAGTCTGTCCCCAGCACTGGATGGCGAGCTCTGCTCTCTCTGTCATCCTGGCATCTGGCCCAGTTTCTGATTTGGGGTGTCTCTGATGAATACTTGAGTTTTGAGAGAGAGGTTAATTCCAGCTCTGCCACTTACTTGCTGTGCGATTTAGGGATGTCATTTAATCTCTCCAAGCAGCATTTCTTTTCATCTCTCATTCATGGACGGTTGTGAGGACTAAGTGAAATAAGGTATATTAGGAGCCTTGCTTGGAGCCTGGTGCCTAGTAGGTAAGGTGCTCAGGCTCATAGGCCTGACCAGTGTTCTTCAAACACTGGTTTGCCATGTTCCTCCCATGCTCAGAAGTTCAGGGACTTGACATTCAAGGCTGTCTGCACTAGCTTATCCTGATAGGCAACACAAAGCTCTGTTTTTCTCAGACTGGACTCCTGCCAGTCCTAGCCCCTGCTTGGCTCCAAGCCTTTGCTGGTATCATTCATTCTCATTGTGGGGCCATCTCTTTTCCCTATGAGTTAAATACTGCTTTCTCCAACACCACCTCTCTTATTATAGTGTCTATACAGTCCTTCTCACCTGCCACTTTGCTGATGCCTCACCCAAATTTCCATTCCCTTCTACAAAGGCTGGCAATAATCTGATGGTCTCAACCACTTTTTTAAAAAAATTGTATTGAAAAATACAAAACAAAATTTACCATTTTAAGGGTAGTGTTAAGTACTTCACATTTTTGTGCAAACAATCTCCATGACATTTTCATCTTGCAAATCTGGAAACCCTACACCCATTAAACAAGAAGTCCCCATGTCCCCCCTCCCTGCAGCCCCTGGAAACCACCATTCTACTTTTAATTTCTATGAGTTTGACTACTCTAGGTACCACATATAAGAGGAATCATACAGTATTTGTCCTTTTGTGACAGGCCTATTTCATTTAGCATGATGTCCTCAAGGTTCATCCATGTTGTAGCATGTGTTAGAATTTTCTTTCTTTTTAAGGCTCAGTAGTATTCCATGGCATACATAGACCACATTTTGTTGATCTATTCATGTGTCCATGGATACTTGAGCTGCTTCCACCTCTTGGCTGTTGTGAATAATGCTGCTATGAACATGGGTGTGCAAATAACATTTTGAGATCCTGCTTTCAGTTTTTTTGGATATGTACCCAGAAGTGGAAGTGTTGGATCCTATGGCAATTCTAGTTTTAAGTTTTTTGAGGAAACTCCATACC